TACCAATGTTCCACAGAAATCCATCCAGGTCAAGAAGTTAAAGTTGCCACAAAGAGGATCAATGGATTCTGACATGTAATCTAAGATATGACACTTGCCCTCCATATACAGTAGAACCCTATTAGAATAGCTTCTCCTTCCTAACTGCAACATGGTTATAATACAGTTAAACCTAACTTCCTCTCTCTTTAAGGCAACCCCCCCCCCCCCCCCCCTTTTTTTTTAACATAACACTGGTTTTCTCTTTTAAAATGACCTCCAGAAGGCCTCCTGATTCTACAAAGCAACCACTTTTTTTTTTTTTATCTTCAAATGAAATTTAAAAGGAAATTCACCTCCCAAAAGGAGGCTTTTTAAATATTATTTTAAATTTCTGATTTTTCCTATTGACTTTGATAATTTATGCCATCATTTTGACTTTATTTTCTTATGCCTACTCTTCATTATTAAGTCAATTTTACCTACCTCCACAAAGCAACCTCTCAAATGTGTCTAAGTTGGACAGAATTTCTGTGATGTGACCTTGGGGACTATCACAATTTTGTTTCAATAACTGTTGTTATAACATGGCAGCAACAAAACTCCCAAGTGATAATATGATAATGAGGATCCATTATGCACAATTAAAAGAAAGATTATTTATTATTAGATTAAGCTATATTATTTAATATTCTCTCTTTATAAATAGCGCCAAAACAAAATATTGATCCCTTCAACTTCAATATGTGGAGAATTTTTTAAATATATATTCTCTTTGAAATATAATTAAGGCAGTTATGTGCTTGCTTGCCTTTCTAGATATCAATTTTTTTAATACTCAGAACACTATATATAGGCGCATTAGCCTTTTTTTTTGCAGCGTTTGTACTCCATGTTAGGAGCGGCTGCACATGGCGTCTGTTCCTCATGTCAGAGGTGGCCATTTATTTTGGAGCTAAGTCGGCCTGCCACTGAGTAGTGCTCCCAGTCCTTAATGACAAAGGCAGACACATTCTACTTCACCCAGTATGGAGATAAGAAGGAAGGAAGGAAGCCTTTTTTAACACAAAACATCCATCTATCTGTGAAAAAAGATTAAATTATCATCATTTTTAGTTGTTTTTAAGACAAATTTCTACAATAAAACACTAAATAGAAGATAACCAGTATATGCAGTTCACAATACAGTAGAAACCAGTTAATATGTCGGCTAGTTAATTTGTTTACCATAATAATAATAATCATTTTGATGGTTCTCAATTTTAATTAAATATAGTTTCTATATTAATTAGTATTATTTTCCAGACACGTGAGCTCCTGTTCCTGTTTTAGAATGAAAAGAGCAACCTAGCTTATGTTTTTTACAGTAATAATTAATATGTGAAGGCATTTCACATATTAACACAAAGTTCCAAGGCGGGATTCAATCCCGGTTCATGGCTGTCAGTAATCGAGGGTTTTAACCTCTCGTCCACCGACTTCTCTAGATGCGTGAGCTAATACTGATTGAACGACTTCTACTACTGTATAAGCTAGGAAACACTAAACATCTTAGTAAAACACACACACTATATAATACCCCTTCGATTTTTTTCTCTTCACTTTTTTTTTTTTAAATAAAATACTTTGTCTTTCCACCAAACAAAAAATGTTGCCTTATTATTTTGATGTGTCTACGAGAAAACTTACCATTGCTTGCTTACATTTTTACAAATTATAAATGGCATTTACACTTTATTCTGTTCTTTTTTTTTTCTAATCTGTCAATAGAAAGATTACTTTTGAATAAGCATTGGCCGAAATCATTTAACTTTTTTGGGTTTTAAAAATATCTAATTGGCGCAACATCCTTTTAAATTTTAATCTTATTCTGATAAAAAATAGAAATGCATTTATTCAGAATATACATTGGCAGTGAGAAAAACCTGTTTGTTGTTGTTATTGAAGGAAATTGTACGAACATATTGAACAAAAAAAATCTGAACCTTTATTATTAGTATTTTTTCAAAAATTAAAATTATAACAAAAAATTAAATGAATATATTTTTCCGGTTGATATTTAAATAATAATAATAATTGGCAATCATGTGCAGAAAGAGAATCTTTTTTTTTTTAATGTAAAAAAAATATATTCAGTAGAACCTCTTTCTAAAAGGACACCTTGTTACAGAGACAAAGTGTCCTTTAGAGAGAGGTGTCTTCTTACCAGAGAGTTGCTAAGTGGTAACGCTGGTGATTTTGTAATGAAATTGTTCTTTGTAGAGAGATGTTCTCTCATGGAGGCTCTACTGTAATAATATTTTCTTGATCATCTAGATGTAGATTGTGTCCATTCAAATTAAAGAAAATGCTTCAATACCATCTTTAGTCAATTTTGAAACAAGCATAATTGTAGCTGATTTATTAAGCTGATGTTATGGCATAATTTTTTAATCTGAACCTGTGCAATCTTTTGGAGCTTATCTTCAAAATTTCAAAATTGGCGTTTGTAAAGATTTTGTTAGAAACAAATTATTAACTCTTGAACCTATATATACAGTAAAACCTCTCTGTAAAAGACACCTAATTGCAGAGCAAAAATGTCTTTTATGATAAGGTGTCCTCTATCTGGAGTGTTCTCTAATGGAGGTTCTACTGCATATATATGTGAAAAAATATTATTAAAAAAAAAGAAAAAAAAGTCAGGTGTTGATATTAAAAAAATTTGGGTTGGCCAAATATCATGGAATAAATTAAATCAACATTTAGTCGATTTTTGTTCCACTAGATGACGCTCTGCCATCTAATATACTCGTGTGAGCGGTCAGGATATGCTTTTTTGTTTTAATAAAATAAGGGCATCTCTCTTACGTTTAAAAATGCATATATATAATTATCTAAATATTTATCTCTCTATTGGATTTATAAAACTAATAGCATGTTTACCATTGGTGAGGTGTATTTTTACCTTACCTGCCAAATTGTTAGTATTAATCACATTTATTTTTCTGATATATACACCCCTCATATCTCAAGATTTTTTTTTTCACCACAATTATTCGCATAGATCCTTTTTCACCTTGACAATTTTACATATCACCTATTTTACATATTTTTTTGCAAGATGGTAATGCAATGTGACAAAATGATGCTACACACTACATGTGTTTATTATTGACATTTTAAAAACTAGTCTCTCTTTCAACTCTCTGTGGAAATTGATAGTTAATTCTGGTCAAAATTATATATGGCATGCAGAGTCAATAATCAAAATTTAATGAAAAATCTGTACATAAATTGTTTTTATTTGAATAAAATTTGACAAAGGGTTTACACTTTGAATGAATTTATTGTTTAAAACCAAATCAAATAAGTTAACAATAGGTGATGTTTCACTCTCACTTCATCCTTCACACATTACTTGCTGGTGAAATATGTCACTAGATAATGGTCACCAAAAGTCGACTTGGGGACACTAACAACAATAACAAATGGCTAACCATTACCCAGCTCTAATGTAGATGAACATGCCCCCATTAAAGTTAGCCAGTGATTTCTATTTTCAATTAGATGCCATTGGAAAGGGGAAAAAAATATTCCCAAATATTTATGGGCGATTCTACTAGTTTAACTGGAATGTAATATCTGGGAGAGATTCCTACAAGCACCCTCATGCATGTTCCTACCTAGTTATTTCCATGTACCTACTGCCATGCTTCTATATATTTTCATCATTTTATTACTTTGTTTCTTTCTTTAGAGTATATTTATTTAGTGTGTTTCTTTTTGTTGTTGTTGTTGTCATTGTATTCTGTGTATTATGGAAATAACATTCATTTGTTATTTATCAGAGTTGGATTTAAAATCACAATGGTAACAAAGCCATATCCAAATAGATTACTACAGATGGTAGAAATATTGTGACTATCCTGGAAGGAAATTGATATTAAAAAAATATATATTATAAAAATGGATGCCAAAACTATGTCCAATCTCTTGACAATCTCTGCAATTTTGCAGACTTGGGTTGGTAACAAAGACCAGTCATTGACCTAACCACTTTATCAGCAAAACACTTCTTTGGCAAAATTTGAAGATTTATTGAATCCCTTGTGGATCTCATGAAATCAAAGTCTGTCCTGGACTAAAGAGGAACATAGCCTGTGAGGTCTCCAGATAGGCCTTTCAGAATTTCCCAAAGCTGTTGTCGTGACTTTATCACTGACCTAATTCTTCTCAATTGCAGAGACAGGCAATAGATGGCTCATAGTTTTACTTCCCTATTTTTTTGCCATGATAGCAGAGTGATTACATCTGGCTATGGAACATCCCTATTTTAATTTATTTGGATTTGGTATTGTTACCTGTATTTATATTTTAAAATATCAATTCATTATTTTATGTATATATAGTTATTTATCTTTCCTTCAGTTAACAAAAACATTGGTTTATAATAAGAGAATGCAGTTAAAACTTCCCATATAAAGAGACCCCTATCTCCTGTCATAGAGAAATATGAAAAAGGGCCATTGTTGGGATGATAAGACTGTTCATTACTGTTAGAAAGGCCATGCCCTCTATTGTAGTAAAGGCAGTAGAAATTTGTTTTATTCAAATATATTAATAAAAGTAACCTTTGAGCTATGAATAGTTTACATTTATCAATAACAGATGGCATGCTAAACATACCATGTTTAAATCAAATATAACATATTTGCATCAAAGAGACAGCAATGGATGCAAATATAATAAAATTCCTATAAATATTGTTATACTTTTTTTTTGTTTTCAGAGAAAATCATTTTTTAGCTGGTAGAAAAGTTTTCATTTCTACCAATTATTCTTCTATGCATATAAGAAGCAGCTAAACTCTGAGCCTATCGCATGGTACAAACAGCAGCCAATATTCTATATACAGTTACGAGCGTCATGGCCTCTGTCAACGGTTTGCCGGCGCCCTCCTATTGTCGGCTACGATCACGCCACCTTTGCCTCCCCCCCCCCATCATTTGGTGGCCGCCAATGCGCGAGACACTTCTGTCACCGTTTGCCTTTGGTTCAGTGGTAGAATGAGCTCGCCTGCCACGCGGGGGGCCCCGGGTTCGATTCCCGGCCGATGGTTTGGGCGGGACATTTCACAAGAGTGACATCTACGGCGCCAATTTATAATTGTAACGCAATAGTATTTGAATAAAAGCATTTAATCGGGTAAACCCCGGGCGTTGCCCGGGTCATTCGGCTAGTTGAATAATCATCTTGAGATGCTAATGTCAGCTCATTTTTAAAAAACTAGCTGTTTAAGGATAATGAACACATTGAAAAAGTCGTCAAATATTTGGAATTATTTCTCTATCAATATATATATATTTATTCTATTTGTTGTATCATTTATAACCTTAGCATTAAGAAAATAATTGAACAAATGCTAAACAATGCCTAACATTTTTGATTTTCCATCCAGAGTGGGCAAACTTTGAGGCCAGCCATATGATAAGCATGTAAATTTAAATAAAACATACGCAAGACCAAATATCTTTATTTATCTTGTCTTATTATCTTTGTGTTCTAATCTTAATCCAAATTGTATACCTTAGGTAATTATTTTTAATGTCGAACACAAGAATTTGAATGATATAATTGATTAGATATAGTGAAGAAAATAATTGGTCAATGTGAAACTATAAATATACACAAACATTTTGTTCACAATTTGCTCCCAATAACCTCTCCCTTTCACTTTAATCCTACCTTAGTTTTTTATATGGAAGTTTTGGCTGTTTTAAGTACTTATTATAGTATATATAATTTATATAACTTTAAAATATATGTATATATAATTATTATCCAAAAAGCTAGAAGTTTGTTTTTATTTACATGTATATATATACATATATATATATATATATATTTTTTTTTTTATGTGATATTTTAATAAAGATTTTTAATCTTTTTTTTTTTTTTATATATATTTTAGAACTATTTTTTAAATTTGTGTGATATACGAAAATATTATTTTATAGAGGTTTTTTTAGAAAAATATTTTTTAATAGTTGCTTCACTTTTTCTATTATGTCATGTATCAAATGAAATTGGATAACTACGATCTAATTCTATAAATAATAATAAAAAAAAAAGATTTCTTGAATTTCTTCAATATGTCAGTGTTTAATATGCAGAGAATAGATCTTATATTAAAGAATGTGAATCGCAGTTGCACCTTTATGATATTCCCCATTTTCTCTGTAAGAGGGTTAAAAAGGTTGCAGTGATTTTCATTCTTTTGATGTGAGATTTGTTCTTTGCACATAGAACTTTCATACTTTCCTTTTAATATAATCACTAAATGTTTCTCTGCTGTCCTCTTTCTATCAATATATAAGGATAATTAATAACTGTCTTAATATTTATGTTTCTTTTTTTCTGTTATTATGTATTAATTTCTACTGGTAATAAATAGACTCTCCTAACAATAAATGTCATATTTTTTCATTGCAACTATACATATGCACATTAACTTGAGACACCATGTGGTAACTTGACATGGATGTATCAACTTTACATTTCTCTCAGCAGCCAGGACTCAAGATTGAAATCAAAATTGTCGAGTTACTTTGAGGAAACAATAAAAAAAACATTTTCAATTCTATATGCATATCAATATATGTGTGTACAAAAAGGTTTTTACCCAACAACCAATTTTCCTTATTTAAAGAATTCCACACTGGGTAACTATTGCTCACTTATCTATAATTAGGGAACAAGACCAAACTCAAATAAGGTAAATTATATGTGACATTACCATCTTTAGACAGAATACTATATGCCGCAAAAGTACATTCAGTGATTATATCTGATAATGAGGCTGTGTATAATTTACTTATTTTGATTATGTCCTGCTAACTTGTGAATACCATCTATATATATTGTACCTCCTATCTACAATTCTAGTTGCATTCCAAACATCTCTAGCAACCCAAGGGATAGGTGCTCCCTGTAGTTGTTTGAATCAAAGTATGTGTTGAGCCCTGTTTAAGTTGCTGTTTCTTATCTCCTTGTGTAAAGATTATACAAATTCCATCAGTTTGTGCTCCTCGAGCTGTTATATGATAAGCAGCGGACCTCTCCAAAGGTCCTCTTAGTGTCTGTTAAAGTAGATATGCATATCATCACAGCAGCAGGGTCTTTCGTAAATGGATTCGTTATAAATCAAACAGCGATATACACATATTAGGTACTAGAATAAATAATAGAAGAATATGAACAGGGACATAAAATGTAAAATTGAATTGGCAAACAGGCGTTTTGGGAACGACTAATATATATTGAGGGAAACTACTAATTTTTTCATGAAACAACCACTGGTCAAAACACAAATCTGGCCAATACTAACATATGAATTCGAGACAAGGAGATTGATAAGATCCTTAATCAGATGATTAGAGGTTTTCGAGATGTACCTCTATAGATTTCCATGGATAGATAAGATGACGAATCTGTTGTGGTGAAGAGAATATCCACCTTTTTTAGTATAACTCTCAACTTTTATTTCACAATAAATTTATTAAATATTTAAGAAAAAATATGCTTAAACAATTTGAACCTCATCATGTCTCTATCCTCAGATTACTCTCAACTAACTAAAAAATAATATAACATGTGATAATCTGTATATAGGATTATGTACCCCCACCACAATCTATATACCATGTATCATCTAAAGGTTTAATAAACTTTAGGCCTCGCAAGATGGGGAGAAACAAAGTTACAGGATTGCATCATCCAGGAAGTAAAGGTCACTGCCCTGGACACCTAAAACTTAAGTTCGAAGACCTTCTTCTTCCTCGCGGATTGCAATCATGGCGGGCATGGAGGTTCAGAGCCAATCACTATTAAGGATGACAAATTAGTAGCGAATCACAAGAGCGCACATGTAAGGATCTCAGTCAATGAGAAGTCCAAGATAGTTGACGATTATCTCGGACAAGAAAAAGGCAGAAGGTAGGTGAACCGTGCTATGAGCTAGGTGTGCTCAACATAAGCTCCAACTAAGGTACTGTATGCTTCATAGATGTGAAAGGGCCAGCCGCCTCCACCAAACTTTCTTCCCTCCCTCGCAGGTCCTATTCCAACCCACCCAAAAGAGTTGTTATTGTTCTTCCCCTGTGGAACCCTTATCACCCGACCAAGACTGCGCCCACCACCATCCATCTCCCCAAAAGTGAGTCGACAGGATAAATGGAAGGAGAACAACCAAAAGAACGCGAGGGAGGGTAAACGGAGGGTCGTCTCCCCGTGCCCAAAATAGAACCGACGCGCACACCTGGCGGAGGTTCTGCTGCTACAGGCGGGCCGCCCTCCTCGCAGAGCTGCGATCGTCCCGCGCGTGGGAAGTTGACATCCCTCCCTTCAATGGATCCTATGCCGCCGCCAGTTCTTCCGGATCTACGACCAGAAGATGGACAAAGCCCTCGTGGCCACCCCCGAGAAGCTTCTCAGGTTGCCTCGCTACCTGACACACCAACCCCTGGAGCACTTCAGGAAACTCCGCAAGGACTCCCAGACCTATTTCCAGGTGAGGCTGACCTACCTGGACCTCTACTTGGAATCCAAAAACACGTCCTTAGCCAAGTACTTCGCCCTGAAGCTTGCTGGGCAGGCAAGCCTGAGGAGTACTATCGAGGGAAGACAGCGCTGGGCCTACAACTGGTCTCCCACAGGAGGTAATCCTCGAGATGCTGACGGAGGGGTTGCCACTCTCCGACCAGCGCCTTGTCCCGTGGTGCCTCCTGAGAGCCTGGGAGAGTGGTACCAATGTGCAATGGATCCGCGGGACCAGCGCACCAACTCCGCATCACCACGAGGAACAACTGCCCAACATGTCGGGGCCCATACACCAGCACCCCAAGGAAGCAGGTGCATGGACAGCACCGCCGTCGAACTGCTGATTCTTCGGCGCCCATCACTGGCACTCTGAGTGCCGCCACAAACATAGGTAATGCCAGCGGGTCACAAAGGGCTCACATGCACACCCGCCATCAGCACCCAATACGTGCTATCCATCGGTCATAAAACCATTTTGCCACCATGTCTGTCTAGATCACGCCACGCGCACACCCACAATTTTTTCATTCAGGGTCAATTGCCCTTATATAACCATCAATACACAAGGCCACAGTGGCCCAAACACGCCACACAAATGTCCAAAACAGTGCTCAGTCCACTGGACGACCCTCACGTTATGTACCTACTGACCACACACCCCTACACCACCATCACAATTGGTACATGAAAACAATCGATACACTCACACTAAACCCAGCAGAGACACCTCCAGACACATGTGCCATCGCGACACAAAATCCTCACTAACCCACCTCACTTTCCCACACACTTCACCGGTACAAACACATATTTACCACCAACAAATTCGCTCTCCCTAGCCTAAAATATTCCACCGGTAAAAATCCCACCAACTCAAACAAAATCACGCCATGCCCCCCATATCGTGTTCCTATATGTGACCAGCAGAAATCTGCAGTCAGATCCAACAAATGCTGGAAAACGACATTATAGAGCTATCATTCTCGTCTTTCTCAAGCCCGTCACTCTCGTCACAAGCGCGACAAGACCAAAAGGTTTTGTATTGACTATAGGAAGTGAACGAGCTTATCAGCTCCAATGTCCATTTGCTCCCAAGGATCGAGGGATATACTCGACCATCTCGCACGGGCCAAGTATTTCTTGACTGCCGACATTTCCCCGCATATTGGCAAGTGCCGATACACCCCGATTCTCGACCTCTGTTGGCCTTTGCCACGCTCGAGAGGTTATATCAGGCCCACTCGATTGCCATTCGGGCTGAAAACCAGTCCTCAGATCTACAAAAGAGCCATGAGTCAATTCCTACAGAGCATGGGCTTGAATGTGTGGCTCACAATTTCGATGACTTGTCATCTTCTCCAAAACGTTGGAGGAACATCAAAATCATCTGCACCGATTCATTAACTTTTCTCAAATAATATAATTAACATATTTTCTTTTAACTTTAAGATGCATAACAATATAATTGATCGAATGGGAACAGAACAACATCTGTGATGAGTTCATATAGCAATGAAATCT